AGTGAGAAGCATGCAGATGTGACAGGCACATCACCTCAGACAAATTGTTCCGTTCGCTGCTCTTGTGCGGGATTCTCTGTGTGAAATGGACTGGAAAGGACTCTCACCGACATCCTTCATCAGGAGGGCTTTGTAGTATTTCTTCTGCAGCGCCGACATGCCGTGGTACACCACCAGTTCCGTCTTTTTGGGCAGGTCCACCGCCACCTCCGACTTGACCCGGCGGAGCAAGAAGGGCTCCAGAATGCTCTGGAGTTCGGCAGCTGGGTGGGGCGACACACAACATCTGACATTCACGCTTGTATGTAAAACGTTTTTTTTTCCCCTCATTATTTCATAACAAGAGTGGCAATGTAACAATGCGTACTTTAACACTGACGTGAAGTTGAAACCAATGAACATGCTTCAACCAAGTTTAAAAACCTGATATCAAGGAGTAATAAGGAATCATAATTTAATTGACGATGACATCATACCAAGTGCGGGTCGACTGCGCACATCGATGTAAGACTGGGCGAAGCCGTCGGCGTCGTCCTCCGAGAAGATGGCGGGCTGGATGAAACTTAGCAAGGAGTAAAGCTCCTGTAGATTGTTCTGGATGGGCGTGCCAGTCAGCAGAACCCGGAAGTCCACTGAGAACTAGACAGGAAGTCATTAGCGGGAGCAATAATGAAGACGATGGTGGTGCCAGCCAGTACCTCCATCAGGGTCTTGCGCAGCAAAGAGTTCTGGTTCTTGAGCCGGTGAGCCTCGTCTACGACCAGAACCTTCCACTTAAACCTGCAGGGAGGGCGCCAACAGCGAAACGTTATGAAAAGCAATTCCAATTCCATGATTCCGAAGCTCATTGGCCGCGAGGGAATGAATAATTACTGTTCCAAGCAGATGAAATAACAACAGAGCACGGTCTCCCTCTAGTGGGAGGTTGGTGAATTACAGTGTTTATAAACATGTCAGCGAGCACGGGCGCTATCTAGCGGAGAAGTTGGTGAATTACAGTTTTCATGAACTTGACAGCTTAGCTATGGGATGACTATGGAAGCAATTTAATGACTATTTTAAATACGACAATTTAATTTTTGAGAAGACACTCACCGTCTCAGGAAGGAAGCATCTTTGAGGCAGAGCTGAAAAGCAGATGATTTTTAAAAATAGAAAAATAAACACACATGCTCGTCCATGCTCACACACCTCGTATGTGGTGAGCAGGACAAGGAAGTCCTGCGTGTCCCCTTGGATCTCAACCCGTCTGTCTTTATCTCCCTTGTAGCACAGCACAGTCAAAGATGGCGAGAAACTGCGGGAAAAAAAAAAACAGATGCTGAGACTTTTACAAGCGAACATGATTATTTTATGTTACGGGACTTGAACATGTGTACCGTTCCAACTCACTCCTCCAATTCTCCATGACGGATAGCGGGCTAAGAACCAAAAACGGACCTTTGACATCAAGAGCGCCCGCCATGTACACCAACAGGCTGATGGTCTGAAGGGACAAAAACATAACATGGACACACCCACAATACAGTATTGTGGATCACACAATGTGTGGACCACATCTCAGAATACGATTAAAAAATAGATTAAACCCAATATGGATGAACATGTTCATTGTCTCAAACCTGACAAGTTTTGCCCAAGCCCATCTCATCTCCCAGGATGCATCCCTGCTGATTTTTCAGGCACTGAGTCAGCCACTGGACGCCATGTAACTGGTAAGGCCTCAGCTGGATCCCTGTTTGAAGGCCAAAAGACTCAATGACACAAAGTCCATGTTAGCTTCCCGACGAATGGATAAACTCATTGAAACTTCACGTTGAGTGTTGCGTTCTAAAAGTTACCCTTCAGACCCCAACGCTGCAAGTCACTCTGAGTCAAAGTCGTCTTCTTTTTGACGGGCACGCTGTTTTTAATCGTAAGCAGTAATTCTTTCATGTTTCCACACCGGAGGGACCAAAACAAAACAAAAACTACTGTAGTGTACAGAAGTGCGTTCTCAGTACCATGTCCCGACTAGTCGGTCAAACACTTCCGCCTTCATCACGTGGTGCAGGAAGTTATTCAAAACTTCCCGCGACAATTGAAAAGTTTAGGTTTAAACCACAACGATGCATTTTTCAGCGAGCCAAAGCCCCCCTATTTTGTTATTTTGACATCCGAGCTGACAAACAATTAGGTCATGTTCCCAAATCAGGTGTGATATACAAAAATGAAAAACACAGACGAGACTGCCAAACACTTCCGCCTTTGTCACGTGACTCGGAAAGTCTGAACTGGCTTGCTCCATACGAAAAGTCACAAACTGCAAAACTGAGTTTTGTTTTTGGTGGCCGTGTTTTTTCGTTGTTTTTTTTTTTTTTACGTTGAACAATTCCGTCATGTTTCAATAAAAAAGAGCTGGGGAAAAAAAGAAATATAGACGCTTGGGGTTTAGCAAGTGTGTTTATAACGAGAGGAAAATCTCCCCAGTCAGCAAAATTGGTCTGGCCCAGCTCTGGCGCGGACACGGCACGACACTCGGCCCACATACCGCAATGAATGACGGTCCTGCAGTGGCCCGGGTCC